TGCTAATGTTTAGTTTAGTAATCGAAAAAACCACGTAGTCGATTAGTTTTTCTTCTTTTCGTCAACTTTTCTCTTCTAACAAAGGCTGGTGATCACTTCTGCAAAATTCTAGCAAAGGTACCTGAACCTTTTCACCCGCTCAATGGAATTCCCGTTATTGGATATATTTATTGTAAAAAGGTTGTTTCTGAAAGTATAATCCATATATTTCTCTTTCCACTATTCTATATATTAAAATTTTTGGATCTTCTTAGGTGTCAAAGATTTGTAGTGTCGTTGACATGACGTGTCGTGTGGTTTGTAGTGTCGTTGACATATCAAATGTTGTTGATAGTTTTCTAAATAAATACGTGTATTGTGGTTTGTAGTGTCGCTGACATATCAAATGTTGTTGATAATTTTCTAAATAAATTGTATACCTTCTTGTACATTACGAAAGGCGTTTGTAAAGAATTTCTCTAAATACAAATTAAACAGTAGATGACGTTGATTGGATGATGTTGATTTCAGTAAAGTTTTGTATTATTCTGATGTTCTAATTCATCCTCTTTTGTCTAATATAAAATAACATAGAATCTTTGCTTTAATTTGTATTATTACCAATTTATAACCAGTTTTTCATAATATATAAACATAAGGGCCCCCGCAGACTGCAGATTTTTTATCAGCCCATAATTTGATTGACTTTTTAATCAGTACGAAGAGGTATGCATATGCTCATATTCTATTCAGTTTACATACACATGACGATTGTTTATCGGCCGAAAGTTCAGTTCACAAAAAAACTTTAAATCTTAATCTATCATCAACATGTACACAAAGTTTTAAATTGGTATTCTTCTTCGCTATAGCTGGTCCAATTAGTATGGTTAGTTTATTGAAGATGGTTATGCTTAACCGATAAAAGGTGACAAACTTTTTTGGTTACCAAGTAATTTATAATACATTGCGTACAATTTTCTACCAAATAATCTATCACTGATCATTGGATGCACTACATACTCTCGAAATCTCTTTTTCTCCTCAGTTGTATGAGAACAATATTATATATACATAGTTGTATGAGAACATATCTACATAATATTTGCATTGTGCTCCCTTCAACAGTAAAACACAAACTTGTTTTGAACTAAATCGTTTAGTTGCCTCGGTATGCCCACCAACGGTTCAGTCCGACTGAACTACTAATCAATAAAAAGTCTGCAGTCTACGGGGCCCTAGTGTCCTCTTACGATCATGGTAAAAGAACATCGGTAAATGACATAAATTTTCTTCATCAAATTATGGTTTAAGTAATAATTCCACTGTAAAGTAACTTATCTATATGTCAATATTTGGCAAATTTTTGTAATTTTGCAGGAAACATACGTGCAAATATAGAACATTCCAATATTTGATTAAACGGACAATAAAGAGATGTCTATTAAAGGTGTACATTGGCAGATTTACAAGTGCAAAAGTCCAACTGAAATAGTTGAATGTCTTAAGCATCGTAATTAAGACTGGGTCTGGTCGAGAATACTGAGTATCGAGAATTATTCTTCTATAAGTTTCACATCTGTGATTAAACGTTAAAACCATACCATGTTTTACAAAAACGAGAACACAATGAACAGTCGAGAACAGGCCGATGAAGACAGAAATTTTGACGTGACTCTTGGATAGACTAAAAGAGAATTGAGACTGCTGGACCAATATCAGCACCTGTCGAACTGCCAGACTCCCGATCTCTTTAAGATCTTAACTGGGAATAATCATATTTCTCACACATCACCGCAATCTCAGCGGTAAAAATTCCCCCAAGGGCTATGAGTATTTCACTCAACCTTAAATAGCTTTCTACAGCCTCTTTATTAAAAAAAGTATTCTTCTTTTTCTATGGCACTACAGCCCAAATTAAGCCTCCTTTATTTTTTGCCTTCACCCTTGCTTGTCTGTGGCCGATTTTATACATAAATGGACTCCTAAAAGGGCTTGTGTCGCTATTTACTCTGTCTTCCCAGCGCTTTCTTGTCATTTAAACCGGTCTCTTTCTCTGCATTCTAGAATTTAGTGCTTATTTTGGTACTCTATCCTCTTCCATTCTCATCACATATCTGGACCATTGCAATCTTTGTATTCTAAGGAAGTCGGACAGTGATGCTTCCTTATAAAGTTGATGAGGCTTGTTGTTGTATCAACTTTTGAAGATTCGATTTTCCCTCACAGATCCTAATATTCTCCTGAGTACTTTCCTTTCGAATATGGCGAGTTTTCTTTTGGACGTTTCTTTTAGGACCCATGCTTCACTGCCATAGCATGCTATTGGTGGAATTAAGGTTTCATAGATTGTTATCTTTGTATTTCGGTGGATATTTTTAGATCGACATATATGGGAGAGGGCAAAATAAGCTCTGTTTGCCTGCGTTATTCTCTTCCGTATTTCCCAATCTTCTGATACGTCGTCATAGATTTCTACTCTCAGGCATGTAAACTTTCCAATCATTTCAATGTCACTTTTATGTATAATGTTTTATGGGACTATATTTTTTTTGTCTGTCATTATTTTTGTCTTTTTCTGTATTAATTTCTAGACCCAGCCATTTTTATTGCATTTTTAACTTTGCGTATATTTCCTGTGCTCCTGTTTATGTTCTACTTATAATATTAATATCATCGGATACTCCAGTGCTAGGTTAAACAAAGTTGGGTTTTCCTGCTTTAGTACCTGCAAAATTTTGAAAAAGTCTGTCCGGTCGTTTTGTATTCGTAAACATGATTAAGTTTTATCTATTGTGGCTTTAGTGAGTATAATTAGCTTTTGTGGTATTGCCAATTCAGCCAATATATTGTAGAGTTTGTTCCTTTTGACTGAGTCGTATGCCTGTTTAAAGTCTAACATCAATGTCATATTCCCATGATTTACTTAAGATCTGTTTGACTGTAAATATTTGATTTAGTGTCGATCTTCTCCGTCGGAAGCCCATCTGATATTCTCCAATAATATTTTCTGCTAGTCGTTGAAGCCGATGGTTTATAATCTACGCTAGGACTTTATTTAGGACTTACTATATGCTGTACATAGTAGAGAAATTCCACGGTAGCTTTTGCACTGGAGTTTATTTCCTTGTTTATAGATCGGGCATATTATAATTTTCAGCCAGTCGTCGGGTATTTTCTCTTAGAAAATCTGGCGTAGGTGATCGCCACCTACCTTATTCAATTCTGCTGGTATTTTGTTCACTCCCAGAGCTTTTTTTTCTGAGCCTTAATAGCTTCGAGAACTTAATCTGTGGTTGGAGCTTATATTCTTTTCTCTACTTTATTCTCTTATATGTAGTTTGTACCCATTTCATATTCCAGGTCTACTTGTGTACCAAGTAGAGTAGAGTCTGAAAATATTGCTTCCAGATTTCTGTGACTTTCTGTTGATCACTGATTTATTTGCCCACATTCATCTTAACATAGACTTTTTTAGGGTTTATACCCACTTTTTATCTTTTTTAGGTATTGGTAAGCACCTCTTTTTCTATTTGTCCATTTTCGTAGGCTCTTTTTTTATTTCTACATATCTTGTCTGCTTTCCGTCTTGCTACTTCACATGATGTTCGTCTTTCCCGTATTTTTTTTGCTATATGCATTTTGTGTGCTTTCTTTCTTTCCTCTATTGCTTTTCTGCACTCATCATCAAACCATGCTTCTCTTCTCGCCTTTTTCTTGTTTCTTAGGGTAGCCGCTGCCGGTGTTAGTACTGCTGTTTTGATATTATTCCATTTGCCCTCTATGGAGTACAGTTCTAACGTCCTTAACTCATTTGCGACTTCTTCTTCAAACTTGTCTTTACATTACAAAAAAAGTATTTACATATTTAAAAAATACTATCGCGAAACAGGGAAAAAACTAATTGAAAAGAAAGACAATAAAAAATCATCTTGGTAGAAGCATATAACAATGTAAACAACAATTTTGACAATCTAAACAATAGATCAACGATTGTATTTTGTTTATTCCAATCGATGGTTTTGTTTTAAAATAACGCAAATTATTTAGTGTTTATATCAACTAATGAGAATTAAAGACAAAGCGATTTACCCAAGGCAATTTGAAAATAGATATTTAAAATTTGTTTATTGTCTTTCGATGATTTTTAGACGGAAAATATTAAGTGCTTATAAGAAGTTTTCTTCGAATTTTTGAAAGACGTGTATTAAAACTGTTTAGGATTAAACCTGAGAGGTCGCTGGTTAAATTATATCAGATAAATAATTATAACGAAAAATGCAATATTGGTTGGTACATAAAATTAGCGAAAATAGCAACTATAAATGATGAATAAGTTATAAAATCAACTGGTTTACTCATTGTCAATGTTTTGTACAAAGAATTATAAGGCTTACCCTTTGGTTCTACTGATGAGTTCGTACCAGGGTGAAGAGTTGGTCGGTGGTACCGACGCTAGCATCGCCGTCCCGAGGCTTAGCACGAGAACCGTCCGGAACTAGATGCGTGTCGATCGATCGTTTTCTGACGAAGAAGTGCCAATTTTAAGGGGTTTGAGAGCGTCTCCCGCACCAACCACCCTCTGGTTGGATGGTCAACATCTCTTAGGCCGGGCATGCCATAAATCAACCACTTGTTTCGATCTTTGTATTTTTGACATAGAATATAAAGAAAAAAGCCCAATTCTGCGTACTTTAACATGATAAATGAGAGCCAGTTTAAGTTTTACGAACTCACAGGAAATAATATATTTTAAAAAGATCTTTGAAATACAGCACCCAAATTAGGTCATATTATAGTACCGTAACAGAAAAAATATTAACTGTAAAAATATGAAATGAATGCGCACATACTTTCCCAAACAAAAACCTTCTACCAGGTTAAAGCTTCTACAAGTATATATTTTTTGTCTCTTCAATTTACGCATTTACAAGAATGTGTATTAAGTTTCTATTTGATATACTAATTTAACAAATTTATAGTTTTTTATTTAATTAGACAATAAATAAAAAAATACTTACTAAGTCTCTGCAGTTTTCTAGTATGCGATGCAGCATTAAAAAAATGAGCAGTCAAATATTTTAGGGGTTGTGGAAATACCATCGTAGCCCATTCCGGTAGTTTCAGACCAACCTGCTGCTCTACCTCCAGAGAGTCAAATATAGGATGGATCTGGGCGTAAGAAGTTATGTTAGCACCAATTTTCTTCGTCAGATATTCATATACATAAAAATACTTTGCATCAATGGCTAACGATTCTTTACTTGACAGATAGTTGGCCTTCTCACGGTAGTAACCAACACAAGATGCCGGTGGAAATGGTGCAAGGACGTTTGGATCCGCTACATGTACAGGAATGGGTTGCCAGTCCGTTGCAGGATACCACACTTGATCATTTTTTGCAGGATATAGACCATATATATTGGCAAGAGCTGACATTTGGGTTCTTTCGAAATCTGTCGTTTGAGCATAAAAATCTTTTTTGTCGTATCTTGTAGATAACCATCCTTGATATCTCTTTCGAGTGAATTTTCCCAAGTCGTACTGTTGTTTTTTACCCTCCTATAATTATATTTTAAACTATTAGTTTATCAATCCATTGTCTTATTTAATTAAAAAAAATACTGTAAAATGGGGTGACATTGATCACTCTAAAATTATTCATTCAAAAATATGATAGTAAATTGTAAAATTCAATACATATTTTTTACCAATATGATTCAACAAGATTTATATTAAATATTTCTCCATAAAAAATATTCTTTGATTAAGATTTTGACTAAAAAATGCAAACAACTGAATGAACAATTTCATACCCTGAATGGGGCGAAATTGATCAACCCTTTTTAAGTGAATGAAAATAGCATAATACGTAATGCCGGCCGATCATCTTCAACCCACGTTAAAAATATTTTTCAAACAATATAAGTATTCTGAAAAATGTATACTGGGGTGAAACTGATAATTGCAATTATTAAATCCACAATTTGCTTCTTTGTAGATCTATTTAATTCACACAAAAAAACAAAAAGTACTCCCTAAATTATGTTTTACAAACAAAAGATATCAATGACATTACGAATAAAACCAAACCAAAGAGCCGTATTCCTTAAAAGCCAATATTTTCTAAAAATTGTAATTGTACGGTCATGAAAAGTAAACTTTATTATGCTTAAACCAACGAATGACAAAGCTGGGCTAGAACTGCAATATAAAAGACCAAAAAACATCATTTTAAACATTTTTGAACATATATTATGTTGATTAAGTTAAAAGTGATATTCTATACAGGGCCGTTCCTGGCGGGTATGCAATGAATGCCCCGCACGCAGGCGCTAAATTTTAGGGGCGCCAAATATTTGGTTACCATTACAAAAATATTCTCTCTTCTAAAACAAAAAAGTCAGTGTTCAGTATTTCCCCGGTAAGCGCTAAAGCAATCACTTCATCCGTTTGCTATTCCCTATTATAATACCAAAATTACTAATTAAATTACCACCCTACAATTTTATTAGTGTCAGCATACTACGCGCCGTCTAATGCCGCACGCCGCTCACTTTAATTAATGTTTTGTGTTGCCGGCATGCCGCGCCGCCCGCCTGGTTGTCTTAAGAAAGGATGCGCGATGCGCCCGCCTCTGACGAAATTGTCGTTTGCGCAGCAAACCGTAACGTTTTAATTCAGTCGTTAGATTTTTTCTTATGGGTTAGGATGTTCTGTTCGCAATATCATTGTCATTAAAGTTTATTGTAAATACATCAAGTTTATTGTAAATTGTAAGTTTAAGGCGGCAAATAAACTGCTAAAAGTAAGTAAAATAAGTTAACTTATTTATTTAAATAAAATAAACATAAATAAGTAAAGTACTAAAATTTAAATTAAATAACAGTTTAAGAACCTTAAAGTTATTCTTCGGGTCAGTTAAGTATCAATGTTTATTTACAACCATGTATGTTATGTTGACATTGAAGACCTTTTATAAAAGTTTGAAAAACCAAATTTCTAGTTTTAAAATCTATCCAGGAGGAAAGTGACATTTACCCGGATGAAAAGTGTATGACATTAATTTTCCACCCAGGTAAATTTTAACATCCTACGAATAACCAAAATGTTTGTTTACATTTTATCAGATTTTTTTTAAACTTGCATTTAGAAGATATGGTTCTGAATAAAACAGTACAACCTATACAAACCTCGGTGAAAAAGTTTCATTCCTGTCTCGACGCTATGCGCCTCGGTAAACCATGTTTTTCTCTTGATAAGAATTAAACACTTCAACTCAGTGTATAATATTATACATTGTGAATGTATATAATATACTATTATTTACAACCATATACGTAAAACATCACTTCTGACATTTTTGAGAGTTGGAAAGTTCACCTTTTGTGACTGTTCTGATTTTCAGATAAAAATTGATTATCTGTTTAATTTCTGCCCGGGTGAAAATTGGTTGTTTACTTTCGACCCCGGTAAAAAGTTTATATGAAAATAACGTTTTCTAATTTTTATTTTAAAAAAATATGACTGTAAATAAAATAGTAGTAAAGGTTTGTACCTCGCTGGAAATTTCATTTTTGTCTCGAGACTCAAGTTAACTTCGTCTTAAAATACTCTTAATTAACTAATTTCTTGAAGAAAATGAAATATTTTCCACCTCGGTATGTAATACCGTATTTTTTCTCTTCAGAATCGGCTGAAATGAGCGAGTTTGGTAGGAAAAAATTATCAGGGGCCGAAAATAGAAAACGCCGACTGCAAATGGAGGCGCAGCGGGAAAAACTTAGTGGATCGCTGAACAAATTTTCTAAAACAAATTTCTGAAGAGCAACTGGTTGCAGAGCCAATGGTTATTGACGATCAACAACAATCCACCTCTGAAACGCTTATGCTACTCCCTTCACAGTCTCAGCTAAGTAACCCGGTAAATGAAGATAGAGAAAGTGCTGCAGACCTTGCCGATATTGATATTACTGATCCCTCTACATGGCCGAATCAATTAAATCATCATTTAATTCAATCAATCGTGACAAAAGGCGCTGTTCAAATCATGGAAAACTTTCCTGTTGATGAAACTGGTAGAAAATTCTCATCCACGCAATATTTAAGAAAGTTGCCAAACGGCGAAAAAGTAAAGAGGGACTGGTTGGTGTATTCTAAAAAAATTAATGCCGTATTCTGCATTTTCTGTAAACTTTTTAGCACATTGTCTCATAAATTAACTACCGGCTATTTTAACTGGAGGCACCTTTCTATTAATATTTCTCGTCATGAAAATAGCATGAAACATATGAAAAGCGCTCAAAAATGGCACGAGTTAAAATTGCGTTTGAGTAAAGAATGTACTATTGATAAAGAGCAACAAAAATATTATGAAATTGAAAAACAGCGATGGCGTGAAATCATTAAAAGAATGATTTGTATTGTGCAGTATTTAGCTGGCCAAAATTTAGCTTTTAGGGGTGACAGTACGAATCTTTATGAGACTAATAATGGCAATTTTTTGAAGTTAGTTGAAATGATTGCTAAATTCGATCCAATTATGATGGAACACCTGAGCAATATTCGAAGGTCTAAAGAGTTGTGCCAAAATATGCCTCATTACCTGAGCAATCACTTCCAAAATGAATTAATTCATTTATTGTCAAGAAATATTCAGAAAGAAATTCTGAGTTGCCTCAGAACAGCAAAATATTACTCAATTATTTTGGATGAATCTCCAGATGCTAGCCATGTTGAGCAGCTGACGGTCATAATTCGCTTCGTTTATTGTTCTCCATATGAAGTCGAAATTAGAGAACACTTTCTGGGTTTTTTCAAAGTTTTAAATACTACAGGAGAAGGGCTCTTCAATTTTTTAAAAGAAGAAATATTATCAAAATTTGAAATAAACCTTGATGACATGAGAGGTCAGGGTTACGACAATGGGGCAAATATGTCTGGCAAGCATGTGGGCCTTCAAGCTCAAATTCTAAAAATTAATCCCAGAGCAATGTTTTTGCCTTGTTCAGCTCACACTATTAATTTAAGTGTCAATGATGCAGCTAAAATTTCATATGAGACTGTAGGTTTTTTTTTTCAATTATTCAGGAGTTGTTTAATTTTTTTTCTACTTCACCCTACAGATGGGACATTTTAAAAAGGAATGTACCAAACTTAACTTTAAAATCAGTAAGTGAAACACGATGGAAAGCAGAGTCAAAGCCATTCGCCCTCTTAGGTTTCAATTCCTCGAAATTTGTAAAAGTTTACATGATTTGGTGGAAGATAATTCAAGAGATATGAACACGAAACACTCAGCAAGGTCACTATTAGACAAAACTAAAACGTTTCAAATTCATTTTTTCTATTATAATTTGGCATGATGTGTTAACAAAAATTAATATAGTAAGTAAAATGGTCCAGAATCCAAATACAACTTTAAATGAATGCCATAAAGAAATAAAAAATCTTATTATTTATTTCACTGAAAAAAGGTCAGACAAACATTTCGAGAGTTTCATGAATGAGGCTGTAGCAGAAGCAGAAAAAAGTGATGTAGAACAAACATTTCATTATTAGACAAAGAAAGACGAAGCTTCAATTTTCGTATGAAGGTACAGATGAAACAGTATTCGATCCAAAACAAAAATTTAAGATCAGTTTTTATTTTCAAATTTTGGACACAACAATTCAATCCCTACAAAGACGCTTTGAGGGAATAGATAAGTGCAACGATTTATTTGGATTTTTGGGTCATTTTCAAAATCTAGATTCTGATGCGATTAAAAGATCATGTATGGATTTGGATTTAGCTTTACAAATTCAACATGAAGGAAACGTATGCAAAGATATTGATGGTCTTGATTTGCATAATGAAATTCTGTCATACAAAGTTCTTAACCCTATCACAGACTCTGGCAAAATTTCGGATTCGCCCATAGATGTTTTAAATTATATAATAAAGAAAAATTTACAATCCTTGTTTCCGAATCTATTTATAGCCTTGAGAATATTCCTGACCCTTCCAATTTCGGTGGCATCCGGCGAAAGGAGTTTTTCAAAGCTAAAGCTCATAAAAAATTATTTAAGAACGTCAATGTGCCAAGAAAGGCTATCAGATTTGGCAGTCATTTCAATTGAAAATAAAATTTGTGAAGCCATTGATCACAATAAAATGATTAATGAGCTTGCATCTGTGAAAGCACGACGTGTCATTTTGTAATTTCAATATTTGTTTTATTTTTCACTTGGTATATATGTATTATTTAATAAAGTTTTTTTGTATTGAGAGTATCTCCTTTCCGTTATTGTTTCATGTTATATTCCAGAATGCCTTATTAATTTGCGAATTGAGTGTTTTCTTTCTTACTGTTAACTTACATAATAATATTGTTTTAAAATGACCTTTTTTCTTCATTTAATTTTGAAAATAAAACCTTTTTTCAAACATGGTTCGTTTTATTTTTCTTTTTACATTCATATCATATTTTCAATCATCACAAGAACATGTTATGATATAGGTATCTTAAAAACATAATATGGGGGCGCACAAAAAATCCTGCACGCAGGCGCTCACTACCCTAGGAACGGGCCTGATTCTATATCACCATTACATCAACCCGTTTATTAAACACACAAGCTCTTTGTGTTGAATTAAGGAATTTAGAGTGGGGCAAAATATCACATACTTTAAGTGAAAATTTATCATGTTTAACCAGTTTGATGGATTTACCTTATTCGTAGTTTTATATCCTAAAACGTCTGGGCCTTTTTCTTTCCTTTTTGAATGTTAGCAACACAGCTATGGTACTGCTTCTTCTTTCTTCCTCCCAATACCTTTACTAACAGAAAAACTCCTTCTTTGATGTAACCCTTATTGTAGGCAAAATATTCAACCCCATCATTATTTTCAGACTGATCCAAGTTAGACTTTTCACTTTCTGTTTCGTTATCACTTGATGGCTTTTCTTCACTGTCATTTTCAGTTTCATCAGGTTACTGAGCTATAACACTTTTTCCTGGCTCGACATTTAGTTTTATTTGCTTAATATTTCGCCTGGATGGTGCAGCTCAATATCTTTTCTTCTTTAGATAATGAACTAAAATGTTGTCGATAAGTGTTAAAATTTTAAGTGACCTGATAACGGCCTTGCACAGTGCAAGCATGACTTGGCGACAGCTTGTCACTAAGGAAAGATAAAAGTCCCGTTACGTCTTAACGGAAAGATCTGTGGCTGAAATTATTCCTCATCCGGCATATTATTATGTTTCAAGTCATCGATGTAACAACATGTATTATCTTAATTATATTTGTAATAGTTTTTAGTTTCATTATAACAAACAATTAAGTTTTTTTATATTATAACAATTACATAAAAGTATTAAATAGTTTTATCTACGGTCTTGAGTTTTGCTAAAACCACGGGAAGTCCAAATAAAATTTAGCAACAAGTAACTGGAAGAATTCAAGATTTCCGTTTTCCACTGAACAGTTACACAACAATAAGGCTCCTTAATTTCTTTATATTCTCTGGGTAACTTATTTTTAACTTTATTTGGGAAAATGGGTAAATTCCCGTGGCTGACGGAAAAAACCAACATCAAGTGATTGGGTCAAACGTGTTAAGTTTTTGATGAAACATATAAAGCCCTCATTGTTTTGTTTGCATAAAGATATCATCTGATCGGTATAATGTGAGGAAAGGTTACCTCCTATAAAGATTTTCGCCCTTTAAGCCGGTTCAGATCAATTTAGCTCCACAGGCCTGATTAAATTAGCCCCATGGTGAATTTTTAAATTTCCCTCCTAAATCATGATATCCTGAAAAATAGCGTGCTTACATGTGTTGACAAAGAGCATACCACTATTAAGATAATTATTAAAATCGCATATATTTTGAAGTTTTTGTAGGCATCGGAAAGTTTGGAAGCTAAAAAACTTATAGCTATAATTAAAACAAACTTTTTTTCATAAAATAATATACTTACATCAACTAAACAATCACAGGTTTCACGTTAGTGTTTACTAACTAAAGCGATGCTGTCAACCGTTTGTTAAGCTTCTTAAATTTTAGGGAAAATTAAAATATTCAAATAATTTGCAATAACCATATTTTATGGTATATATAGTTTTGAAAAGGCAATCGATAAAGTACAGCATATAATATTAATGCAAATACTGAAAACTATCGGAATAGATGACAAGTATATTCGTGTTATTAAAAATTTGTACTGGAATCAAACTGCTATCGTAAAAAAACGAGGAGTCAGATAAGGTTGCATTTTATCGCCAACATTGTTTAATATTTACTCGGACCAGTTATTTAAAAAGTCAATTTGTGAGACAACCATATGGAATAAAAATAAACGGGGAGCTACTTAATGTGATTAGATATGCAGACGATACAGTAATTCTATCCGATAATATTGAAGGTCTTCAAATTCTGCTTGATCGTATTTACGAGGTAGAAGAGGAAATGGGCAATAAAATAAACTCAAACAAAACCAAATTTTTAGTGTTTAGTCGTGACCCACATTTCGATGAAAAGTTTCAATTGAACGGAGTCCAAGTTGAGAAAGTTCACAAAATGACATATTTGGGAACTGTGATAACTAGATCCAGACATAGAAATAAAACGTAGAATAGCAATGACAAACTAATTTTATGAAAATGAAGTCATGAAAAAACTTAAAAATTGTTCGTCACACTACCATCTACTTCGTAAAAATTCTGTCATCACCTCTCTCTTGTCCATTAGGCTATTTCTCTAATATCTAAATCTACTAATATCTAACTCTAATATCTAATAAAAACTCTAATATCTAAAGTAGTGGAGTTAGAGTCATGAGAAGAAGTTATTACTAAGGGTTTAGTAAAGTAATAGATTTAAATATTCAAGTTCAAAGATGGTTCAAATATTATGGGAGTACGTATCTGGCGAAGAGTCTTTTACAATAGAAATCAATGAATTACAATTATTAGACTTGTCAAAACCAACAGAGAGTTATGGAACTAAACGAAAAATACACCCTACTTACATTTGTTAATTCGCCGTTTTCTACACCCTTCCAATAACGAGGATTAGCGTATCTGTCATTTGGATAAAATGATGTTGGTGTTCTTTGACCATGTCTAAAGATCTAAAAAAAATTTTATATATTTAATTTATATTTTCTGTCACATTTTAAATTTGTATTAAATTAAAGTTGAAGCCTGGAAACTGACGCAAGCCACTGAAAAATGAATCAATCGAAGCCTTCGAGATGTGGATATATAGAAGGACACTAAAAATATCTTATGTGGACCATGTCAATAACGTTGAGGTCCCACAGCGCATGACAAAAGAAAAAGAAGTACTTAATTTAATTAAACAACGTAAGCTTGAGTATCTCGGCCAAGTGATACGGAACGAAGAAAAATATCGAATTTTTCAACTCGTTATGCAGGGTAAAGTATTTGGAAGAAGAGGACCGGGACGCCGTCGTATCTCGTGGTTAAAAAATCTCCGACAATGGTTTGGGATGACCTCAGCGGAGCTGTTTCGCAGAGCAGTCAACAAAACCATGATAGCCTTGTTGATCGCCAACATCCTGACCGGATAAGGCACTGAAGAAGAATTAAATTTGCATTTTTAAATTTATTTTATTTGTCTGGAACGATAGAATAAACAAAAGGTAATAATACATATACCTACAATATTTTCATATGATTTTCACCAGCTTTTTGTTGAGTCTACTTACAAGATCGCCACATAAAAAATATCAAACCGATTATAAATATTTATGAGCTTAAAAGGCCATCCCTTTTTAAATGCTTTTTAAATCATATCTTTAAATTTTAATTAAATCTTGAGGTTTTGTCATAAATCTGAAAATTGAAACCTTGAAGAATGAAGTTTGGGCACAGTTTGGGCAAGTTCAATTGTCTAAATAATAGCTCTCCGGGATAAGCAAATTAAATAACTTTAAATTATAAACTATTTAAAAAAATTTATTAAAAAAGCCTTTATAAAAGGTATATATTTAAAAACCCTAACGGGCTAATTATGCAAAACGTTTTCGGAATCCATATTCCATCATCAGTGTCTAGGAGTACATGAATGTAGCCACTAAATATATGGGTAAAAACCCGTTAACAAATAATTGGTTACATTTGGTATATAATATTTCTTATAATATGTTATGATGTTAAAGTTACCGTATGATAAGGTAACATGGCGACATATGACTCCAGGAGTGAGAATCAGAGTTTTAAATCAATTGATAATAAATTAATTAGAAATAGACAAATTGAAACTTTTTAAGTGGGAAAGAGTCTTTTGTAGAGATTATCGCTATCCTAATCGTAAAAAATGGACAAAAACAACAATAGAGGAACTTTTAGGTAACAGGATATATTTGTGTAACACAAGAGGGTTTAATTTGGAAAATTTACACCAGATTTTAAGGGATAAGGGATCTGATTCTAACTACGATAGTCTAAATGAAACCATTGTAACTGATACAACTAATAATAATAGAATTAGTACCAGTGTTAGACCCTTTTTAGCTTTAAGGACGTAGAAGTGTTAAAACAAAGTGAAATTAAAGCAAGAAATTTTGAAGAGTCTGGTAATGAAGTAGCAAGTGAAACAGTGGTTAGTGAGCCTAATGAGAAATCAAAAACCAAAGAACATGTGAAAACAGTTTCAAGTAGACCAAAAAGAAATGTAAAACCACCCGTGCATTTAAACTTATAGTGATGAGGTATTGTAGTATACTTTAATAAGTATAAAGAAAAGAAGAAGAAAAGTATAAAGCATAAAGGGTTTTTAATTATTATTTCCCTAATAGTTAAAAATACTACAAGTTGTATAAAACTATAAAACTATGTTTAATCATTTATATTCTTTTTCCGCATCACACTATGTGTGGGTAGAGAAAATAAGAACTAAAATGGAAATTATCGAGAAAAAAGTAAGACAATGATAATTAGCGGCAAAGAAGATAAGAAAGAAAATAAAATACAGATTAAATGTAAAAACTCAGAATTGGAAATAGTTATACCTTTTAAAAATTTAAAAGATCTCCAAATCTCCAAATCTCAAAAAAAAAGAAAGCAAATCTCCAAGAATATAAGAGAATAAATACAATCGTCAGAAGAAAAATAAGAAAAGCCAAAAAGAAACAAACAACAGAATAATGTCAAGAAATAGAGGCGTATCAGAGTCGATATGATAACTTCGATGTTCATCGAAAGGTGAAGGAAATAGCTGAAAAGTTCCGAAAACGCAACAGCGGAAAAATAACAGATGATGAAGGCAATCTTGCCATAACCAAAGAAGATGAAAAGAAATTATGGGAAGAAGACTTGTAGAAATTTTTCTATGACCTTAGAACAATACAAAAGCCCACTATTAAAGAAAATTCAGGTCCCAAAATCCTACCAGAAGAAGTCTGGTAGCAGCCGTCAGACAAATGAAGGATGTAAAGACACGGAGACTTGATGAAATTGCTGCAGAACTGTTAAAGCTATTAGAAGCAGATCAAATAAAAACAATGACTGAAATATTTAATGAAATATACAAGGCCGGGGGTGAAAAGGAGTTATGAAATTGGTAGTGACCACTATCTACTAGAAACCACATTCAAATGCAAAAGAAAAGAAATAAAAAAAAGAAAACATAAACAAAAAACACAAAGAAATAATTAAAATTTATAAACTAAGGGAAGAAACAATGAAGATAAGATACTCAGAAGGGCTAGAGAAAGTGATGGACAATGAACATGAAATAACAGAAACAATAGAAGACGAATGGGGAAAATTTATAAATGCGATGATAAAAACAGCTAAATCAATATGTGGAACTACAAGAAATAACAACAGAGGGAGACGTACATCTTGGTGGAACGATGAAGTGAAAAGAGAAATAAACGAAAAGAAGAAGTTATGGAAAGAATACATAAAAGACAAAACACAACCAAAATATTAAAATTATAAGAGACAAAGAACAAAAGTTAAAGAGATGGTTAAGAAAGAGAAAAAGAAAAGCTTGGAAAAATTCGGAGAAAAAATGGAAGAAAACAGCACAGAAAACGTAAAATTATTTAGAAACTATAGAATTATAGAACATTGATTATAGAACACTGAAAACCCTAAGAAGCAACAAAGAAACGAAACTAAAACAAATAATGAACAAGTAAGGAACAATAATAAAAGACGATAAGACAATAATGGACAGATGGAGGGAACACTTCCAGCTGATACTGAATGAAAATAAAGCGAATACAATGAAGAAGAAAAGCCACATCAAGAGAGTATCCATGAGAAACATGGAAAATCTAGAAACTATAAAAAAGAAGAACTAGAAGAAGCAATAAGAAAAATAAAGATTGGAAAAGCACCAGGAAGCGATGAAGTAGCACCAGAAATGATGAAATATATAGCATTAAAAGCAAAAAAAAAATGTAATACATATGTAATCTAATATGCAAGAGAAAAGTAATACCCAGAGAATGGACAAATGCAGTAATTATACCTATATACAAGAAAGGAAACACAAGAGACTGTAAGAACTATAGTGGTATATCACTACTATGTGTAGCAGCAAAAGTATACGAAACCATAATAGAAAGGAAAATCAGAAAAGAAATAGAACATAAATTAGAGGACGTACAAAGTGGATTCAGGAAAGGACACAACACACAAGACCATACCATGCCATGCAACAAGTAATAGAAAAAGCCTTAAAGAAAAATAGAGATATATATCTGAGCTTTATAGACACGGAAAAAGCATTCGACTCAGTCAAGAGAAAAGATATATGGGAAAGCCTAAAGAAGAAGCAAGTAAGTGAACAACTGATAGAAGCAACAAATAGTATATACATGAAAACAACAAACACAGTAAGAATGTCAAATATGCAGTTAGAACCATTTAAAACAACTCAAGGAAGTTTCAGCCCAGTGCTATTCATAAATGTAATAGATGAGATACTGAAAGAATGTAAGAAAACGTTTAAGAAATACTGCATCGGTTGGAACAGAATGCAAATGATAAACGCTGAGATGTGTATATTTGCAGACGACATAGTATTAATTGCGGAAACAGCAGAAAACTGAAATACAACTTAGAGAAATGGAACCTAGAAGCAAGCAAATACAACTTAAACGTAAACAAAGAGAAGACTCAGATAATGAAAATATCAAGGAAACAAGGGACGGAAGATCAACTACAAATAATGATAGACCAACAAAAAATAATACAGATAAATTCATACAAATACTTAGGAACAGTAATCAACAACAAAGGAGACATCGAGGACGATCTTAACAACAGAATGTAAAACACAGGAAAACTATTCCAAACACTAAATGGAGGATTCCTTAATAACAAAGAAATATCAACAAAGACCAAGATGACAATATACAAAACAATATATAGACCTACAGTGACATATGGAGCAGAAAATTGGATACTAAACAAAAGGCATCAAAGCAGAATTCAGGCAGCAGAAATGAAATACCTCAGAAGAACGATCGGAGTAAAAAGAACTGATAGAATCAGAAATGAAGAAATAAGAGAAAGACTAAAAATAAAACCGATTCTCGAATCAATCAAGGAGAAAAAATTGGCATGGTTCGGACATCTAACCCGGATGGACAATAATAGAGAATTAAAAAGAGTGTGGGACGCCAAACCAATAGAGAAGAACAGAAGAGGAAGACCCATTAAAGAATGGAACAGTGACATCTCGCAGATACTGCAGAGTAAGGGTAAGACTTGACAGGAAGCAACACAGATGGCATACAATAGGAAGGAATGGAAAAAGTTTGTCAAGAGCTAGGACACCTCAGAAGATTGTTAAATATTGTAATATAAAGAATTGTATTATAAACGGTCCAACACCGAAAGGTACAAATTGGTCTACTGAGTAAGTAAGTAAGTAAGTAAAAAACAGGGAAAATACAAGTAGAGTGGCTCAATTCGTAGTTCGTACCATTGCCCAAAAAAACAGTATCAAAAGTTTGTGAAGATTATAGGACCATAAGCCTAATGAGTCATATGTTGAAGCTATTTTTAAAAGTCATCCACTAAATAATTTACCGGACATGCGAGGAACAAGTTGCGCCTAATCAGTTTGAATTTTTTTAAACGCCGTTGATACAAGGTAAGCTTTATTTAGCGTGCTTCAGAAATGTAGAGGTGGCAGCTGTGATGTTTTTTCATGCCTGACTGACTACAAGAAGGCTTTCAATAGAGTCAGGCATGGACAATTGATGGAAGTGCTGAAGAGGACAGGGATTGACGGAAAAGATTTTAGAATAATAGCTAGTGTGTATTGGAATTATTCAGCGGTACTTCGAATAGATGGTGAATATACAGATCAGGTCAAAATCTTAAAAAGAGTAAGAAAGGCGTACATAATTTTGCCACTGATATTCAATCTGTACTCGGAGCACATTTTTGAAGAGGTTCCAAAATATGTTGATGATGGCATCTCAAAAAATGGAGTCAAGCTCAATAACCTGTGGTATGCAGATGATACAATAGTGTTTTCCAATACCATAGAAGAGCTGCAAAACTTAATGAACAAAATAACATAAACACGTAGGAAATATGGACTGAATATAAACATCAGCAAAACCAAGCTAATGATTATTAGCAAGGAAAACATAACTGGAGCAAATCTGTATGTAAACCAAGTGAGAATTAAACGTATCTCACAATACAACTACTTGGGTACTATAATCAGTCAGTCGTGGGACAATACCCAAGAGATTAAATCTCGCATCGGAAAGGCAAAAAGTGCAATATTGACTATGAGTTCTGTGTTCAAGAGCCATGAACTTACAATAGAAACAAAAATTAGGCTCCTTAAATGTTATGTTTACTCAGTGCTTCTGTACGGAGTAGAAACAGACAAAGTCACCAATGAAGAAGTACTGTCACCCATCGTACAGGGCCATAAGCTGCAGTACTTGGGACATCAAGGCAGATACGAGCTAATCTACAAAAAGAGCCCCAGCATAAAAAAGAATATCCAGGCACCCTAAGAAGAAGAATACCTTACGAATACTTGGGAAGTATAATTACTACCGATGAAAAATTGACTGGGAACTAACAAATAAAGCAAAAAAATCAAACAAGTTACACTAGGCATTAGCCTAGAGTTAAGAATAAATATACAAAACACACTAGTGACACCGACCATACTCTCTGCAAGTGAAAATATTAGAAGAATGGCCAACCAAGAAACAGTAATTAATAAAATGTCAAAAAGAATAATGAAGTGGTATGGACTGAAGTGTTATGTGTGGTCCCTACTACTACTATATGGCTGTGAGACCTGGACATTAAAACAGTATGACGTCAACAAACTGAATTCATTCAAAAATACAATCAAAATTATAAAGACGTCATATCTAGAACACATAATGCACCACAAGGAATTTGAGCAGCTCCAGGTAATATAAGAAGGCAAAATCGAGGGTAAAATGGGTATAGGAAGAAACAAGAAATCCTGGCTCCGAAACATCAGAGATTGGACTCACACAACAGGAAATGACTTAATCCATCAAGCCTAGAACACAGAGAAATTTGCCATATTGATCGCCAACCTCAATAGAGAAGGCACTTAGGAGGAGAAGGATGGGCATCTCATGATGATGCAATCAGAATTACCAGAAAAGACCATGAAGCAAAAAACATCGCAAAAGGAAAAACAGGCGGACCAAGAAAAAATAGATAACAAGTATAACTTGTAGAGGAGGGAAAACAAAAATCACTCGATGAATTGAAAATAATGACAAAAAGAAAGATAGTATAAAAGGAAGAAGAAAAAGAAAGAAAGAAATTAGTGCAAAAAAAAAGAATTTTTTGCAATTTATATTGATCAATTGTTTATGTATTGTAATGTAGAAACTCACAAATTAAAGAACTTTTTAATATATACAACTTTTATTTGAACTATTTTTATCTAACATGTTTAAGAAATGTTTTATAGGCAAAAAATTATTTTTAAAATTTTTATGATTGTTTAAAAAATGACAAAGCAAAATCAGCCGTACGTGTTCGCTGATTTGCCATAAGGTACTCCTCATATACCTTTTAGAACTTTTAAATAGCTGTATAATATTTTTACGCGAAATTGATGATTTTTCATAGATAGACTGAACTTATATACAATTTTACACTTACCTGAACAACTGCTAATAAGTTTTTATTATCTGTAAAAACACTCGTACATTCGTCCAGAACAATATATGCTACAAATAATATTCTAAATAGGTTTGCCATTTATTTTCTGAGTATAATTCCAAAAACTAAAATAGCGTTTTATTTATTTTCAATAAGTCATCACTGATAAACTACGGCTACCTTCCTTAATACATACACGTGACTACAACTAATTAGAATATATATTTTAATAATTTATAAATACTAGTAGCACTATCAACTTTTACTTGTTTGTTTCTAAATAGAAAAAAATGTTCTTGTCCTAATTTTAATTGTTTTGTCAACTAGTAGATTGGAAGTATTTAGAAAAATAAATATTAACTTATTTTAGTTTAAATAATAATTTGAAGGTTAAAATAAAAATTAATTATGGTTTCGTTTTACTATGATTGTTTCTTTTACTCATACATTTTTACTCTTTTGCTGAAATAAAATATTCACTATTTGTCACTTATGTATTTTTTCTATTTTATATTTCATTAAATTCTTCTAGCATATCGGTGACTTACGATAATTTAAATAAATCGTAACTGCATTAGCATGCATTACGAATTTCATTAAGACATTTAAAAAACTCACTTAAAATATTATTATGTTAGTATTTCGAAAGGACAATGTCACTACCAATGATTCAATATATTTTCTACAGCCTTCCAACTCTCTCTCTCTCTCTCTCTCTCTCTCTCTCTCTCTCTCTCTCTCTCTCTCTCTCTTTAGGCCTGACCTACTAGAAAGAGTGTAGTGGTCATCGTGATTTTCTGTATTGTCTATCTCCAAATATCTCCTTTCAAGAATAGGTCTTTTGCACATTCCTTTAATTTGATCGATTCATATTCTTAAGGATCTTCCTCGTGATCTTCAGCCTTCTTTATTCCCTTAGTTATTACGTTTTTCTATATTTTCTGTGCCTACTCTTCTCCAAAATATTTTAATTTTTGGTGATATAGAGCCGTTTGCTAAACAGTAGTTCATTTAAAATTGAACAATTTGTCCTGCCTTTCGTCCACGAAATTCGTAACATTCTTTTCCAATACATCATTTTGTTAATTTATCTTTCTCCTTTCTGCTGGTCATAGGGTGCAAGATTCACATCCGTATGTCAGTATTAGGAATATTAAGCTTTTTATCAACCTCATTTTTAGAATTCGTGAAATTTGAGAGTCCTTCCATATTTTGGCCATCTTTTCTTGTCTATACATCTGCTAACTTGTCTGATATATTGTTCTGAATAAAATTCGTTTGAGAATGTCTGAACCTCTTTAATTATTTCAGTAGTGCGTTCGCATAGTTTAGATATAAATTAAATTATTGACTGAGGTACGCCTACTTCATTAAGTATCTACCATAGGTATTACCATTCGACCCTGTCGAAAGATTGGAGGTAATCTATAAAAAAATGTTCGGTAGCATATTGAATTCCTAGATTTTTCTATTAAAAAATAAAAGGGTGATCGGTTTTGTAAAGGTGATACCCCTTACTATGCTGGAACTCGGTGAGGAACTCGGAGACAGTAAGGCTCATCGCCGTACTATGATACTCGCAGCATTTCCTGAGATTGCCAAACGAACTGATTGAATGTTGTTATTATCCGAAAAGGTGAAATAAACGAGGAAAAGGTGTGCTTTCGACCAATTTGGCATCTTAATTCGATAGCTCAATTGTACGAACAGCTTATTAAAGGCTGGCTTGAGGGATATCTGGAAGAAAAGCATGCGCTGAGCAACCGTCAATATAGTTTTAGGACCAAAAGGTCCACCACTGATGCGGTCATAGAAGTGACCTCTTTATTCACGCAGGTTACAAAAAGATCTTCTTCTTCTAGTTCCATGACCGTTAGCGATCGTTGGATATCATGTTGGCTACCATATTCGCTATCGTGACTATATTGACAGCAGCTCTAAATAACGATGTAGTTGATTTTCCCTACCATTGCCTTAGATTTTTCAGCCATGATGTTCTTCTTCTACCAGGACCACAATTACCTTGGATCATTCCCTGAATGATCAGATGTAAAAGATCATATTTTTCAGGGTGTCTCATAATATGACCGAAGTATTCCAGCTTGCGTTTCTTTATTATATTGACCAGTTGTGTTGTTTGGTTCAGCCGTCTAAGGACCTCATTTCTAACTCTGTCGACCCAGCTTATTTTCAGTAGTCGTCTGTATACCCACATCTTAAAGCCTGTCAAGCGTTTAAGCATAGCCTCAGTTAGGGTCCACGCTTCTACTCCATACAGCAGGACAGGAAAGATGTAGTAAGATATCATACGAACTCTAAGGTCAATGCTAAGATCGTGACTGCAAAGTACGTTTCTCATTTTTACAAAGGCAGCTCGGGCTTGTTCTATTCGGCTTTTAATTTCTGCGGTTGGATCCCAGCTCTCAATGATATTACTGCCGAGATACACGAGTTTCTCTACTCTGTCCAGTGTGGCATCTCCGACTTTTATACCGTCATCATGTATATAATTTTGTTTGCTAACTATCATATATTTAGTTTTCTTAACGTTGAGTTTTAATCCATACTGATCACAAGTCTGTTTTATTTTGTTCATTAGATTTTGAAGGTCTTCTCCGCAATTGGCAAGGACTAAGGTATCGTCGGCATATCTAATATTGTTGACTAATATTTCCTCTGAATATAAGTTAAAAAGTAAAGGCGACAATATACAGCCTTGTCTCACTCCTCTTTTTATATTATTTCATCCAACAGTTCTTATTCATCAGTATAGATTTGTAATTATTCGTAGATCTTTATCGTCCAATCCAGACGTTTCCAATATTTCTAGCATTTTGTTATGTCGGACTTCGTCATAACAAAATGACAGAACGATAGTGACAAGACTCTTATCTTGGTTGACATTAATAATGCCTGTATCATAGCATCATGGAAAAAATCATATCCAGACTGAGAGAATTCGGCGTTAGTAAGTACCTGGTCAACATGGTTTACAGATACTTTACTAACAGATCTATAAGGGACAGATATCACCATCGGTTTGCAGGTGCTTTGCAGGGTTCAGTACTAGGTCCCATCCTGTGGAATAGTCTGTACAACGGGGTGTTGAGGCTACAGATGCCAAAAGGACGTACTCTTGTAGATTATGCCGATGATGTAGCACTGATTGCAAAGGCAAGTCAGAAAATGGACATGACTAATGAGGTTAACACAGCCCTGAGCCGCATTTGTAGGTGGATCAAGGAGAACGATCTACGAGGTGTTACGAGGAGAATCTTAAAAGGAGCTGGGAATCAATTCTTCGCTTTATAGTGGAAGGTGCGGAGGTTATATAAGTTAAATTGGTAAAGTATTTCGGAGTCTGGCTGTCCGAAGGACTGAGGTTCGGATTACACGTATAAGAAACGGTGGATAAGGCAAACGAAAGTCTGAAGACGTTGGTATGACTAATACCGAACATCGGAGACCTAGTTATCACCAAAAAGAGTGCTAAATAGAGTTTTTCAGTCGGTGGTGACCGATGCAGAGCAGGTGTGGTGTGTAGCGTGCTAAATACTGCAAAATACGCAAAGCTGATATAGATCTAGCAAAGTCGAATGCTTCTCAGGAATTAAGCGCCTACAAGATGGCATAAAAAGAGGTTCTGCATGTCATTGGAGTGGTAATACCAATCCTTTTGTTGTGAAAAGAGCAAGTGAGGGTATACGCGAGTAGGATTAATGGAAATATAGATGAGGACGATAAAGAGAGAGAAAGAAAGAGAACGATAGAGGAGGGGCAGAGAAAATGGAGGAATAATAGCTGGAAGGCAAGTTGGACGAATAAGCTTATTCCCGATCTGGAATGGAAACCTAATCATTTTGGCACTTTCACAAAAAGGATAGATAAAGATGCCCCGGAGTACTGTACTTATTGTGGGTTGCCGAAGGCTCCCGCTCAGATTTTCAATTGAGAGAGGGTGGTGTTGCGTTCTGCACATACGATGACCTCAATATAACAATTGGGATCATCCTGAAGGGGGCGAGAAGATATTCTGTTTAATCTAGAACTCGCTGGTTTCCCCCTTTCGAAATGGGTATGTATATTCAACTAAAGAAAAATCAAAGCCAGTGGACTGTATAAAACTCTATTTTAAAAAGGTGTAAAATTAAACATAAATATACAAAATCAAATACTTATACCATTATAATTAAAGTAGAATATATTACTTAAAAGAAGAAGAATATATTACAAACTTAACTATTACCTACTATGAAATACACCAACAAACACACCAAAAGACAACCATAAACAAAACCAAAACAAAAAGATGTCGATTCTATTAAAAACCACCGACAAAACAAAAGACAAAACCTACCATAGCAGCAAACATACTATACATAAAAGATACAAAAACAAATTAATCATATTACAAAAAAAAATACATAAAAATATGGATTTATATGTCGTTGATATAAAAAAAAAGTAATAATGCGTTAGCATACAAATAATTATTACAATTATTAATATAAAGCACAAAAGCAATAAAATCGGTGTTAAAGTACAAAAAAATTTACAATACAGTGAATAAACCGCGAAACAAACGTAAAATGTCCAATTGACAATGTTCAATCGCGATCGCGGCACAAATGAAATAATGTTTCCAAAATGTCACAAAAAAGTATCAAATAAATATACCAAGTGCGCGTACTTGATATATGCAGCAATCGTATATAAATGGTGTATTTTTCCTTACCCCATGAAAAAGATAGCCCCAACGCTATCGCAAATTACGCCTTCAGCGGCCGACTTCAACTACACAAGTTTTATGCACATTTTCGTCTTTTTTGGTCAAAAGACCGATAAGGAGTCAGGTACTCTTCGTCTTTACATACACATCTGCCTCGGTTGAGAGATGCATTTCAACTCTGGTTTTGTAACAAACGCAAACCCTTATTTTAACTTTAAAAACACATGTGGCATGTGGAAATCGTCCTTTATTATCTCGCGGATGGCCGTATTGAAATGTTTAGCTCTTATCTCTTTTTGGCCCCTAAACACCGCTGTGCAATTGTATATGTAAATCTCAGTTTAAATATACGTGGAGAGTCGAAACTATTAAAAAGTCTATTAATATATTTACAAATGTTTATACACAGTTGCGAAACTGCAACAGGTGGCAAAAATGGAAGAAAGACTTAGAGAGGCGAACCGGTTTCAGGCTTAATAAAAGAAACGTGGTAAACATAAAGATAAGAGGACAGAGAGAATGAAGAAAAGTACACAGTCTGATCTCTAGGGTGATAAAGAAAGAGAAAAAGAAGGAAATTGAACCAGCGACAACGATTGAAATCTTGTTTTTTTTTTGTTCGAAAGCCTAGAACTGGTAAGTACCAAAATATTTTATGTTCTCACGGAAATATTTTCGTTTGAATTTAATAAATACGTTTTTATTTTTTCCATTTGTTTTATGTTAAGTAGTTTTCGAGTATATTTTATGAATATAATCCAGTTTGCTCTTGTGATATTTCTTTTTGAAAAAAAAGGCTTTGTAGGCTTATCATATATTTTATTAATGTACGTATAATAATTTCTAGATGTTAGGTCTTAAGTCACCAGACTACTGTAAGAGAAGCTGGAAAACACAAGAAGAACGATTTTCAAAAATCCAATATTGCCGACAAATGGACTGGTCTAATGTCAACTGACCAATTTCTAGCTGCTGTAAATATAGTAAGATGGATCTATGTGGTCTCAGACATGACTAGAAGATAGACACCTTTGGAAGAAGATTTTTAAAGTGACTATGATCTGTTTTGTTTTTCTGCTATTCTTTGTCTTGATCTCGTTATAAAAAGTCTATACTTTAAAGTAGCACTTGGTAGCACTATGATAAAGTAGCACTTATATCAAAGAATGGAAAAGAAAAGTCTTTTTAAAGTGTGTATACATTTATTTTCTAGCTTAGCAGTTTCACCTTACAAAGCCATTTTCAAAGCTATAGTCAAGTTTTTAAAAAGTAGCACTACACTTGACCAAAGATCTGAAAATGGCTTTGTAAGATGAAAGTGCTAAGCTAGCAAATAAATGTAGAGACTCTTTAAAAATACTTTTCTTTTTCATTCTTTGATCTGTTAAGTGTGTGCAAAACTAGATTAACCTTTTTATTTACTTAACTATTTGTAAAAGAATATACTTCAAAACTTTGAGATTATAGATTATTAATGTTAAAAAATATTTTTTTTCAATCCAATTTTCTTGCTTTTGTATTTACTTTTCTCATAAACTAATCACTTCAAGTATCATGTATTATATATTTCTGAAATCAATGAAAAAAGGGGGAAGTAACTTAAAAAAAAATAAAGGGTTGATACAGGGGGTGAGAGGGTGCATTTTCCAGCAACCTTTAATATGATATTATGTCTCCCCCTTCATATATTAATTGACGTGTTTTTGCGTTTTTCCAAAAAATTAGAGGTTCAAAAGTTATTTAAGGTGAATAGTTTTATTTGAAAAGCACTTTATATAACAATAATAAATTAAAAGCATCACGTTACCTGAACTACAGCCACCAGGTTCCTGTTGTAATTGGTAGCATAACATTCAGAATTTACAAAGATGATTACAATAAGGAACAAACCGTTAGATATAATTTCGCACATTCCAAAATCAAGTACTATGTTTTAAAATATTTATTGCACATAAAGTATTAAATTTATTGCAAAAATACGCTTTTACGGAACAGGTATTAAAAAACAACAAAATAAACTGAGCTGATCATTATGGTTTCTTACATAGCATTACAGCAAGCGGAACATTATTAAAATAATTACTTTATTTCTCATTGAATTTATTTAAATTATAATTGTTTGAATTATTAAGATAATGCACATTCCATGAAAATGTATGTACACTCATAATAAATACTGCAAGTCTTAATAGTTAATATTAAAAGGAGCTGGTGGATTTTAGAAAGTAAGGTACTGTTTAATATTCGATATACGAAATAGTTAAACAGAGAATAAAGCACACTTCTATATAAAAGTCATAAAAATATTAAAGAAATAATTGACACACATAAAAGATATGGTTAAAAAAATCAAGATAAGATCTTGGAATCTTAGTAGTCTTACAACTTAAAGAAAAGAAAAAAAAAAAAGAGGTTAGTCTTCGTAAATGGGTATATTTATTTAAAAAACCCTTAAAAGGGCTACATCAAAAAACAAACGTTTTCGGACTAAACAGTCCATCATCAGGTTTAAAATTGGCTAAAATAAGTATAAACCATTTAGTTAAAGCAAACGTGGTTTTTTAAAATTTTGACTAGGGTTAGAAAGCAAAAATGGTTATACTTACTAAGTTAAAATGCCTGAGTCTCCAAAATACCAGGGTAAAAACCCTTTAAATTACATGTAGTTATTAAAGATTGTCATATTGTTGTTATAAAACTATGATGTTTAATATTAAATTAAATTTGACTTCAGGTAACTTGCTTGAAGTGAGTTCCAGTGTCCGGAGAGTAAACCTCTTCAAACGGACTACAGCTGGTAACTGATTGACAAGATACCTATGAACGGTGTCGAAAACAAAATGTTAACATATGAATTTGAAACAAAACATATAAATGTTGACAAAATAGAAACTGGAGTATTTATGAAACTAATAAATTTTGACAAAATAGAAACTGGAGTATTTATGAAACTATTGAATATCATATTAAATCTCATTAACAACATGACGAACTTCACCCCTCGCTTTTCAGTCAAAAATACCATTCATCTAGTCAACAATCTTCAACAAATAAATCTTCATCCTAATATCACAATGCTTTCATTCGATGTCAGCAACCTATTTACTTCAGTCCCCAAACAAGAAACTATTAATCTGGTCCACTTTCTTCTACGAGCAAATTCTATCACTATGTCTACCACGAACTCAATTATTCAATTATTACAAACTTGTCTAGCTCAAGACTTTTTTGTTTTCAATAGTAAATTTTACAGACAACCTGATGGCTTAGCCATGGGTAGTTGCCTTTCCTCTCTCCTAGCTAATATATTTATGGATCACTTAGAATCCACACACATTATGAAAAATCCTGAAATTCGTTATTGGTTTCGATATGTTGATGACTGTTTAGTCTTCATATCAGGTAACTCGAATTCAGCTGATCTGTTACTCTCTAAAATAAATCAAATCCACCCAAACATAAAGTTCACTATGGAACTAGAGTCGTCTCAATCTATTAATTTTCTTGACCTTACCATTACCAGATTAAACGACCATTTCGATATCAGTATCTATAGAAAACCTACACAAACCGACCTCTTCCATATAATACCTCTATCTTCTAACCATCCAATGTCACACAAATATGCAGCCTTTTATAGTTACATTTATCGGATGTTAACAATCCCACTATCACAATCTAATTACCATACAGAACTCAACATTCTTAAGCAAATAGTATTCAACAATGGGTATGATCCCAATCTCATTAATAAACTAATACATAAGAGACAACTCAAATCATTGAGAAAGACTGCGTTCCCCAGAGACTTGACCATCAAACCACATTATGCTTCTTCACCATACCTTCAATAACGTCTTTCTGGAGATATTAGAGATATCCTAAAAAGATCTGTTGAGAATATTCACATTTCTTTTAAAGTCACGAACAATCTAGGACAATATTTAACCAATACAAAAGATCCTATCAACTACATGGATCGTAGTGGTGTTTATAAATTACAGTGCTCTGATTGTGATGCTACATATATAGGTAGAACCTGTAGATCACTTCCCGTTCCCACTTCCCGTTCCTTAGAAATAGATATTATGAAAAATATAAAAAATATCTCGTGGCCTCTCTTCCTTACGGTCAAAGAGTAAATTTGTACTTTGCACATATACAAGTCATATGCTTTTTTTAGATAATCTTCTATCTCTATCTTAGCGTAGAAAGAAGCAAAGTATGGAATGCCATGGCGGAGTTCTCAATACCAAAGAAACTCATTCGGATGACCAAACTCTGTATGGAGGGTGGAACATCTAAAGTACGTATAAATAATAAACTGTCTGGTAGCTTTGAAATCAACAGTGGACTTAAACAGGGTGATGCGTTATCTCCACTACTTTTTAACCTTGTATTGACAGCTATGAGGTTGGCCAAAATAAAAACAGAATTGCTATCGGTTTAAGGTCCCAAGCTGTTACTCGCATATACAGATGACATAGAACTCGTTGGAGACTCCATCCTGTTCACGAAAGACATCTTCAACAAGGTGGAAGGAGCAACAAGTGAAGTAGGGCTGAAGATTACTGAAGAGAAGACGAAATATATGTGTATAAATAGAACGACACGAAGAGACAGAATAGGACAAAATGTGACGGTCAACACCTTCAATTTCGAAAGATAGCAACGTTTTAAGTATCTGGGGGCCGTAATCACATCTGACAACGATGTTATGGAAGAAATCAAAGACAAAATCCAATCTGCAAACCGCTGTCTATTCGCACTGGAAAAGACCTAAATCTACAAATCCATCGTCAGACCGGTAATAACATACGGATGCGAAACGTGGACCATAACCAAAGCATACGAAGAAAATCTCAGACGCTTTGAACGAAAAATTTTTGGACCTCACCATGACATCACCAAAAACTAGTATAAGATTAGAACCAAAACCCAATTAAAAGTACTCTACAATGACGTCAATCTTGTCCAAAAAATTAAATCCAAGCGACTAAGATAGCCAAGCCACGTGCACAGGCTGCATAACGGGAGACTTATTAAACTGGTATGGGAGGAGATTCCCATAGGTAAAAGACCACTTGGACGTCCCAGAATGCGATGGAGAGATAACATCTAAATATATCTC